CTGTTCTGTGGCATGGGAAAGATGCAAAAGGCTCCATTTACAATGGTGACATATTTTGCCAAAACCTATTTAATATTAGAGGGGGCAGAGCCTGGCTATAAAGTACATAGACCCTGAAGCCAGGTACACTGAATTCAAATCCTAACCCTAGCACTCACTTTGGGGGACAGTGACCCTGGGCAAGTCATGGAACCTTCCTCCATCTGAAAAATGGGCACCTTACTCATAAATTGCTTTGAGAATTAAGTACTTCACACACAGGTCACTAAACGGCAGCCTTTCTATTGTTATTATTACACTGACCTTTGAACAAAGAGGAAAAAACAAACGCAGTCATAGTTTCCCATCTTTACGAACAGGGAGGGGACTTGTGCTATGGTTCCACATTGGGGCTTTAAGTTCAAATTGAACTGTCACCATGTCGGGAAGCCACAAACTGAGAAATAAAATGCAAAGAATGGGGCTTTCCATCAAGAAGCAGGAAAGCTGCAGCCATGTACAAATAAGGTATAAAAGATATTCAAATCAGAACAACCAGGACACAAGAAGAGAGATTTCAGAGAGCCATGCGGGCTCTGGAAATCAGTCTTGGACCCCGTAAATCAGCAATAAAGGAAGTGTGAGGAGCCACTTTAACTCATCAGTAATTTCACAAAAGGGAAAAGGTGGTAATACTGATGATGGCGACAACAGCTACCATTTGTTGGGCATCTGTATGCATCAGTCACCACGCAAAACTGCATGTCCCCCCCAGAAGTTTCTTTTGGCCCTGTTTCATAGATGAGAAAAATCAAGGCTCAGAGACGGGAGGCAACATATCTGAAGCCACACAGGTGGGAAGAGGCAGAGTCAGGGTTTTGTGGGACCCTCCTAAGGCCTGTGCTCTGTGATGTGCACTTTCATATTATTAACCTTGGTTGCTCGACATCTAGCCCAGGGCCTGGCACAGAGTGGCTGCTCAGTAAACGTTTGTTACATGAATAAAGGAACACAGGAAAGTACAAGATTGGGTGCCCCTTGGCTCACACACATCTCTGCAGAGAATAACGCACTCCTCCAACCTGAGGAGAGCCCGCACGCCTTCGTTCACACCTGCATTCACAGGTGCATTCATTCACTGATGGCTGGCTGTGCCTACCACGTGGCCAGGTCCTGTGCTAGGCAGGCATCAGGCATAAGCCATGGGCTCAGGGCTTGGAGGGGCACTTGCTCCACTTGGGGTAGCGCCACAGCAGCCAGGGCAGTGGCAGGTCCAGGTGGCACCATGCCATATTTCCACCATAATTGCCATCAATTTTCTCTCTGCAGCAGCTCATGCAGTGGGAACAGCCAGATTCTCTAAGGCCATGCCAATTAATTCTTCAAGAGCCTTAATGGCCTCTAAACTCATTAGGATTTGCTTTTGAGGACCAATGATAAATCACATTCATTGGCCTTTGAGCACCCCCCCACCACCCACCACATACACACACACACACACACACACACACACACACACACACACACGTCCACAGAAGACCTCTCCCCAGGCCTCCAGCTGGGTCCGAGCCTATCCGGCCTGCGCCATCATCTTGCCTCTGTGCTTACTGGGAGGATATTCCAAGCATCATCATAATTCAAAGGAAATTTACAAAAGAGGAAGGAAGAAAATCCAGCAGGTCACTGGTGGTTGGGAAGAGCAGAGTGCTGACTTGAACAAACGCGGCATCTGACCGGAGGCCTGGGGCTGGTCAGCCCTGCATGGCTTTCGGACACCCACATCCTCAGAGAACTCTCTGTGAAGCAGATTTATCATTCTCTGTCACGTAGGGGGAAACTGAGGCTCAGAGGGGCATGGTAACTTGCATAAACTCACGAAACTGAGCTGGGATTTGAAACAAAATCCGTTTGCCTCCCCAAGCCCTTCTTTCCTGATGCCCCAAGCTGCCCTAGATTCAGAGATGGTCCTGGCAAACCACGATTCCATGATCTGCACAGTCCAGCCAGAAAAAACCTTACACATACACATGCGCACGCGCACACACATATATACACACTGAGCTCCTGCTGTCTAGTGTACCCTGTCCAATCCCTTCCAGAAACACCTATTTGCCCAGTCGTCACACTGCTTGAATATGCAGCTGTCAGTCCTGTCCATGTTTTTGAACCGAAGCTGTGTAAATATTAGCACAACTAGTTCATAGTCCGACTTCCTTAAGCGAAAGCCTGAAAATCCTGGCAGGGCTGGCCGAGGCCTCCAGAGGCCTCCATCACAACATCTGGGTTCTCCTCTAGGCTCCCCTTGTGATATTCTGGCCCCGTCACTGGATTCACTGCCTTAGTGTGACCATTTAGAAAATGAGGGTAAGCAGAGTCCTGGGTTGCCAAGAGGCCCAAACAGCAAAGCATCAAAGTGCTGCAATGTGAGGTATCACTTGTGCTGGTGGAAAGAAGCCTGCGCTTGCAGGCTGGTGCACAGTGAGTGGCATGGTCAGGACCAGAAGTGGTTGTCTTGGGTTTGTTACAGACTGGGGGTCTCCTCAAGTTTCTGAAGCATGCTGGATTCCATCTGAGTTTAAAGAAGGGGAGATGGCCAGGTGGAAGGACTCTAGCTGGCCCCTGGAAGGCTCCTCAGCCCAAAGAGCATCTAAATTCAGCTTGCACAGGCCAGGGACTGGGCCGATTTTCTCCAGGCCTCCCCCAGGCTTCCTTTGGAACCACACACCCGATGCTCCAGAGCAAATGGGACCTACCTGCTCTGAGGCTCGTGAACCGCGGGCTGCACCTGACCTGGGGTTTTCAATCTCCAAGACACCTGGCCCATGCTCTGGGACTTGGGGAGCAGCTGTTCATCACCAACCCAAACCACAGAAGGATCCAAGTGGGCTTCTCTGCAGCTGGGAGATTTAGATCAGACACTTGGAGGGACTTCTTATGAGAAAGAATACAGGACTGAGAAATATGCAAAAGAGGTGGCCGGGACATGCCAAAGGGGATGGTGATACTGGGGAGGTCCTAATGGAGGGGGAGAAAAACCCCTCAGTCCCCTTCAACTCAGGGGAAGGCGGGATGCAGCAAGGAGAGCACACTGACTTGTTTCTCATGATTACCATGTTCCCCACTAGACTGCTCGGTCCATGAGGACAAAGACTCCAGGTTTTGTTCACGGCTATGTCCCTGGTACAGGGCAGGGACTGGTACACAGTAGGCACTCAATAAGCCACAGAGCCAGAACACTCAATTTCAGTTTGCTCTCCTGCAATATGAGGATCCCTTATACCACAGGGACAAGAATGCAATGGAAATACCGAGAGGACAGCTGATGGACTGCGTAAGGCCGCAGGCGTGTGTGGGATATGAGTTCTTTAAACTCAGATGGAATCCAGCATGCTTCAGAAACTTGAGGAGACCCCCAGTCTGTAACAAACCCAAGACAACCACTTCTGGTCCTGACCATGCCACTCACTGTGCACCAGCCTGCAAGCGCAGGCTTCTTTCCACCAGCACAAGTGATACCTCACATTGCAGCACTTTGATGCTTTGCTGTTTGGGCCTCTTGGCAACCCAGGACTCTGCTTACCCTCATTTTCTAAATGGTCACACTAAGGCAGTGAATCCAGTGACGGGGCCAGAATATCACATAATGTGACCCCCATTCCCAGACTGCTGCCACTGATTCCAGACAGATGGTCCTGCAGCTGCAGCTGCCTGGCCTCCACCCCAGATGCAAGGAGCAATAGGTCCTTGAGAACCTCCCCCACACCGCCACATGGAGCCTCAGGCCCAGAGCCCCAGGCCCCTGGGGTGAGAAGGGAGCAGAGGGAACACATGCACGTTCTCAGTGCAACTGCCAGACAGGAGCTGCAAAATTTCTGAACTGAAAGATCAAACAGCTCCAGGTGGGCTTCCCCCAGGAGGGGCCTGACATAAGCCAAATCGGATTGTCAACAAATCCCCTCAGCCCCACCCCCCTGCTCCTTGGAGGGGCCTGCAAATAGCTCAGGGGGCAGCTGTGCTGGCCAGTGGAGAGGGGAAATCAATATTCCCAGCACACACACACATACGTTCTCCCTCTCTCCATAAACACAGGCCCGTGGATGCTCACACAGCTGTCCACAGGCCCCCAATGCAGAAAAGCCTCTCTGACACACCAGACTCCATCCCTGACCACACCAAATGCACACTTGTCGCCCCACACATAAACAAAGCCCCCTAACCCCACTAGCAGCCCCCCTCCTATCTGCACGCAGTCACAAACAGCAGCCGAACATAAGTCAAACTCCGCTACTCCACAGGCCCCACTGCACTCCCAGGTAGCCCTGCCACCTGGGAGTGGTACCTTACCCACAGCCACCTGCACACCTGGGACACCCGCTCGTTCACAGTCCCGGACGGATCCCTGGTCCTTGCACACACTAGCCCAGGGTCTGGAATAAACAGGCCTCGGGCGGCCTCCGTCCTGCCTGCCATCTGACTCAAGCCCAGACCCCGCTGGGCTCGCTCCCTGCCACCGGCTCTGGTCCACTGGCTCTCCCGCCCCTCACATCACACCCATCCCGGCCCACCTCGTCTCCCTCCTACGTAAACTCACCCCAAAGCGAACTCGCATCCCAACAGACTCGCTCCACACACACTCCCGTCCCCAGAGACCCCCTTCGTCCCAGGGCGCACGCGCCACTCCGGTTCGGACAGGCTCTCTCTCTCCAACTCACAACTCGGGTCCCGCCAGGTCCTCCACCCAGACCCACGCTAGTACAGACACCCCGGCCCCGCAGGCGCTTTCCTCTCCCGCACACCGTGCGCCCGGTCCTAACGGACCGCACTCTCGCACGCCCACTCCCGCAGCCTCCCTCGGGCACGTCCTGACGCTCACTCGCCCCGCACTCACCACTAACCCGGCACCCAGCGAGGCGCGGCGCCCCCCGCACCCCGCCCGCGCCCCGGCCGGGCTCGGCTGGCCCGTCTCGCGCCGCCCCTCCCGCCGCGCCCACCCCGGCCTCCGCCCCGCCCAGGCCCCTTACCCGCTGTCGAGCTCCAGCTCCAGCAGGGACTGGGTCCTCTCGGAGTTGCAGTGCAGGCACCACATGGCGGCTGCAGCGGGAGGTGACGGAGCCGGGCAGCCGGGACCCAGGCCCAGCCGAGCGCCGCCGACTCCAGCCGGCGGCCGCCGGATCCCGGGGCCAACACCCGGCCACCGGAGACCCGCCCCCCGCCACGCGACCACGTCGGGTCTCCCGGCCCAGAGTCCGCCGGCTCCCGCTGCTCCCGGCCCGAGTCCGACCCCAGGCCGGCCCAGCCCGCCCCTCCGCCGCCGCCCGCCTGGCGCAGCGCGACGCGGGGCCGAAGGAATGTGGCCCGGAGGGGGCGGGGCAGGGGCGGGCCCGGGAGGCTCGGGGGCGGGGCCGCACACAGTCGCGGGAGGAGGGAGCGCGAGGGCGGGGCCTAGAGGGGCCGGGCCGTGCGCAGGGGCGGGGCCGCGCGGAGCCGCTCCGGTGAGTGCAGGGATGGGAGTCCCAGGCTGCGGCCTCCCGGTCCCAGCGCGCGAAGCCCTCTTTCTAGAAGGAGGACTCCGCGCCTCCTCCAACACCGGAGCCTCCCAACAGCCATGTCTCCCTCCCCAAGGTGGGCGCACAAATAGAAAGCGCCAAACCACCCAATCGGAGCCTACTCTGCTGTAGGCGCCAACCTCCACCTATCTTGACTTTTGTTTCTGAGACCCGATCGTGTGATTCTGGAAAACTGAATGGGGTCCCATCCTGAGGCTGGGGCCATCCTTTTGGGGACTTTTGAGGGAGGATCTAACGGAAAGTTGCTTTTCCCACCAAACCCCCTGCCTTCCTCCCACCCAGAGACCTTTCGGGCACCCGCAGCAGGTGTGAAGTAACATTAATTAGCATTTTAGAGCTCTTTACCGATATTTGGTCTTCAAGGCAACATTGTGAACTAGGTGGACTTACTCCTGGTTCCATTTTACCAGTAAGTAAACTGAGGCTCAGCTTAATCGAGTTAACTCAGAGAGGCCTGTCCTGCCCTCTCCCAGGCTTCCCTATTGTGAGCTCTCTATTTGTATGTTTACTTGTTTATTATCTGTCCTTGGCTCCATGAAGGCAGGTGCAGTGCTCAGCACCAGGCTTGTGGAATGCCCAGATGTGGTTGGGAGACAGCCACCACACAAAGATACAATCAAAACCCCACCTGTCCTGGGCTGCCCACCTGCAAGTCCATCTCCTGGAGGGCAAGGCAGCTGGCAGGTCTGCGGGAGTCAGGAAGCGGCAGGAATGCTGGGGCATCCTCTTACGCCCTTTTGAATCTTTCATTTGGAGGGGGTCAGTGACGGAAGCGGACTGGGCTGTCCCAGCCTGCGGCAAGGGAAGGGCAGTACCTAGAGCCAGTTTAGACCACCCGGGTTCCCTGGAAAAGAGTCTGAGCAGGAATCCAATGCCCTCCTTACAGCCCATCTCCACATTCCTCCTTTCAGCTTACGATGTTTGCTACATTCAAAATAAATAAAGACACAGAATGGGAGGAAATATTTGCAAACCATATATCTGATAAGGGTCTAGTATCCATACTATATAAAGAACTCTTACAATAAAAAGGAAAATAACCCAAATTAAAAATAGGCAAGGGATCTGAGTAGACATTTCTCCAAAGAAGACACACAAATGGCAATAAGGACGTGAAAAGATGCTCTCAACATCACTAATCATTATGGAAATGTAAATCAAGAGCACAATGAGATACCTCTTCACTCACACTCACTAGGAAGGCTATATTCAAAAAGATGGATAAAAGTATACACAGAGTGTTTTGGAAGGAGAAGACCACTGGGCTGCACTGCTCAAAGATAATGGCCACATCTGGCATCTGTCTTCGTTGAGGGGGCAAGAAGTTGGGAAGGGGCAGGATTGAAAAAGACCAGTTGTGGGGGTGCGGGCAGCAGAAAACTTCCACCCCAGTGGGAACTGCCCTCTAAAAATAGGCTGTAATGAAGCCAAGAGCATTCTCCTAGCCAGCTGCTGCAGCACTCCAGACATGGGCTCCAACAGCCTCATGATCCAGATTGTCCAAGAATTTCAGGCACTTCTCCAGGCCAGGGCCCTCTTGCCCGCCCGCCAGGATGGTCCTGGCGACATCGTTCCGGCTGGGATTTAGAAGAAGGGACTTGAATTTCCCAGTTAGCATTTGGAATACCAGACAGTGGAGTCCCCGGAAACCAAATGCCTCTTGATTCTCTTGTTTTGTTTTATCTTCCTGCAAAGTGTGCCTCTTGCTCCTGCTCAGTTAACTGCCTCACAGATTAATAATTTAGGGAACTGAGAGCAGCAGTGAGAAAAGTTCCAGCCTAGAGAGACAGAGAAGGCCAATTTTTCTGCTGAAATGCCTAGACTTGGCAGAATCCTTTCATGTACTATTTGGGCAAATTGCTTAGTCTCTGAGTCTCAGTTTCTTTACTGTAAAATGTGGCTCACCTCTAGCCCAGCTAATTCACTGTACTATTTAATTTAATTTAGCAAGCATTAATTAGTGCTTACTCTATCCCTATCTTCCCCTCAATGGAGAAACATTGCTGTGACAGGTATCTCTCAGTATGGTGGTATGACAGTGGAGGAAAGAGCCTGTAATTCTGCCCCAGGAGAGGCTCTAATGATGAGGGGACATTTTGAGTTGGGCCTTGAGGGATGAGTAGGAGCCCCAAAAGTCATGGAAACATTTAGTTACACTATATTGTCCTGGGTTTTAGTCTTGAGCTGCTTGCCTTGGCCCATTTCACATGCTACATACAACCTGACTTTGTCTCCATCCCCCTGGCTTCCAACAGCTTCCCGTCTTTCCACAGCCTCCTTGCTCTCCTTCGACCAGACATGTGGCACCCTACTAAAGCCCAGCCTTTGCCCAGCTCTTTCCCCAAGCTGTCCAAAAGAAGTCCAGCCCTTCCACACAGCCAGCTGCAAGGCCTGTGTGGCCTGGTTCTGGGCCATCTCCCCAGCCCTCCCTCTCCTCGTGCTCCCTGTGTGCACCCACACCTCTGGCAATACTACGCTGCTTTCTGTTCCCCAAACTCCCCATTGTGTCTGCTTCACAGCTAGGACCTTGGGTTTCAGCTTTTGATGTCACTTCTCCCAGAAAGCCACACCTGAACGGCCCCGAGTCTAAGTTAGCTCTCTTCTTACATGCTGCTATGGTTTATATATGGATTGTTGGGCCTTGCCAAATCTCGTGTTGAAATTGGATGCCCAATGCTGGAGGTGGAGCCTGGAGGGAGGTGTTTGGGTTGTGGGGGCATAGCTCTCATGAATGGCTTGGTGCCCTTCTCACAGGAGTGAGTTCTCACTCTTAGTTCCCACAAAACTGGTTGTTGGAAAGAGCCTGGCACCTCCCTCCTCTCTCTCTTGCTTCCACACTCTTGCCATGTGATCTCTGAACGCCGGCCCCCTTCCCTTTCCCTTTGCCTTCCACCACAAGTGGAAGCAGCCTGAGGCCCTCACCAAAAGCAGATGCCGACGCCATGCTTCTTGTACAGTCTGCAGAACTGTGAGCTAAATAAACCTCTCTGCCCACGTGCACAGACATGAACGCCCTAGGATATTAGTTGTTTGAAATAGCAGACGTCAGGGGAGGAAACACACAGTGCCCCTCTATGCGGACTGCTTAAGTAATTGTGTTACATCCCTCCATAGTGTCCCACGTTAGAAAGGTGGCAGCAGCATCGTACATACCTATAGGAAAAGATCTGAGACACAACATTGTGATAGAAAGTCCAGAAAAATGTGAAATGCATTTACAACAAAATCTACAGAACACTAGTATGTTTATACAGCATTGTATAATCATAGACTACTTCTTAAAGGAGACCCAAGAAATAGGTACAAGTGGCTGCCTATGGGAAGAGAAACTGGGGGGGCGGGTTCCAGAGATTCCTGGAGACAGGGCTGTGCTCCCTAAGCTTGAGGTTTAGTTGGGACGGGGGCAGGAAGGAGAATGGAGGACTTTTTACCTCTATGCCCTCTTACAAGTTTTCAAATTTTTAAATGTGTTTATTACCTTTAAATAAAGCCAGTGAAATAAAGAAATCAATAGAAGACGGGGTCATCCAAGGAACTGGAAGTCTTCTAACATCTAGGAGGCTGTGAAGCCCATCAGAGCTAGTCCACAAAGACCTCAAATTGTAGACGGTACTTAAGCCACCTCTTTGGCCACTCCGGGTTTGAGCGCGATGTGTCTTACCAACAGCCATAACAGTCAGTAAGAGTTATGTCATAGCCCATTTGGAGCTTCCCACTCAGTGTCTGTTATCACTGCCCTGTTATTATTCAGCGTACCGAAATGAACACTGCCATGCCATAGGCCAGAATGCTGGATCCAGGAGGAGGCTCGGTGACCATCCCTCAACTCCAAAGCCTCATTTTACAGACAGGGAAACTGAGGTGCAGAGAGATGAAGGGATGTGCCCCAGGTCATGTGGCCAGGTGCTGGAAACACACTGGCTCCAGGCTTCACTGGCCACACTGCCAGGAGGGCACGACTGGGCACTTACTTGGCTAGTACAGCACCCAGCCTGGAGTCGCGAGTTTCAAGACCATCATGCCAACCCAAACACAGGAGTGGGACTTACTCACACGGCTGTTAGATGCAGTGAAAAACCAGACAGCCGCACAGAACACAGAACTCTGTAGAGCGACACCTTAGGGAAGCCAGTCAATCTCGCAAAAGAGAAATGTTTCCAGATAAATAAAGCTGTTCTTATCGAGTGCCAAAATATTTTAAAATTTCAACCATATTTCACAGAAACCACTTGCAAATTTGGGACTTCCCCGTCTTACTAAACAAGTACTTACTTTGGGAGGCTGGGGACCGCCCTGAGGTGGTGTAGGGTCGTTAGCCCTGAACGAGGCCGCTGCCCTGATCTTCCTCCCAGCACGGACCTGTCCAGGCACAGCGTGGGGGGACCCCAGCCCCTGTTCGTCCGCAGCCTCACTCCCGCTCTACTCCCCGCAACTCGGCCACGCCCAGGATGCGCCCTGCACTTCCTCATCCCGGCGCCTTCGCTCGTGCTGTTCCCGCTTCCTGAGAACCTCCTACTCCACTCGCAAGGCTCGGGGCAAATATCCCTTTTCTCTATGAAGCCTCCGCTAGCACCTCCAACTCTCGGGCAGAACAAGAACTCCTCGACTAGACTCTGGGCACCTCAAGGGTGGGGACGATGGCTCTCCATCTCTCCTGGTGGTGGGGCCCAGACACTACCACTGATATATGTGAGTGGCCTGGGTCCAGACACCTACCATAGCACCAGGAGAATTCATCCCAACCACAGTGGTACCTGG